ATGAATGTTCCTTGTGTGGGGTCCAAGTTCACTCCCCCTGCCTCTCACCCTATCCCTTGTCTGTCCTTGTGAAAACAATGGAGGAAAAAGTAGACAAACTGTGGTTGGTGATGTCCTTGGAGACTTCAGATATGTGTAATGCCTTGAGCTAGCCCCTGGGAGTGGGGAATGAAGACAAGATCAAGGAATGGATGGGCTGTGAATGTCTTTAAGGCCATGCCCAGTTTAGCCATGCTCTGCCTGCCAGAAGAGACTCTACCAGGCTGTGTCTGGCTGCTGCTGCTGGCTGCTAAACCTCCTCTGAAACGAGTCAGGGGAAAGATGGGGTGGTGGGCTCATCCTTGCAAAAAACCCCTAAACTTTCAGTGTCAGGATCTGACTCAAGATATACAATGATGGGTGGTGCTTTGGGGGTGATATGGTGCCGTCTAGCCCTGTGATAAGATTATAGTCACGCTGTAGATGTAGAATTCTAGGCTGACTGAATTGAGCAGTGGGCTCATGTGGGCAAGATTTATTCTCTGATGTTTTCTGGCTTTTTTTCCTACCTGATCAGTTCCTCCTTGACTGGTGGTGGATGAAGTGAGAGGCTGCACAATATTGGGGTGGTTGGGTGAATAGGTTGGATCCAAGAAAATGCTATGTGTGTCTGAATTTGGATTTGTCATAGGAAGAACACAGATGTTGCTAATTTCATGAAAAGTAAGGCAATTGAGTTAGACAGCATTGAGAGAGAAAAACAGAGAGGGAGAGGAGGATATTGGTATTCATGAGTGCGCATGTGTGAATGCATTTTAGGCTAATTATGATGTATATATGTGCATAAAATTTGTGTGTATAACATAGAGGAGTTTATGTTTGAGGCCAGTGTGTAAAGTACGAGTATGCATTTGGGCTTGGATATGTGAATTTAGAGGCTGGCAGGTGTGTGATGGGTTTTTGTCGGACTGCTTGTGAACTTGAGCCCACATGGGGTCAAGCCAGGCTGTGCTTAATACCTTGACTCCTTAGAGTTCTGTTCTTAAAAGGGTTATTTAGAGTAGAGAATCTAGGGTTGCATTTAAAACTTTCAAAGGAAATGAAATTAATGGAGCAGGGAATTCTGAGAGAATAAGGAGAATTACTGGGACCCTAATAATACGTGTGCTAACAGCATTCAGGAAAAAATTTCTCCTTCAAACCCCTGAGTTTCTGGTTTCTAGCGCTAGCTTCTAAATGCAGGTGCTTTCACTAGGCTATAAATTTGAAGGCACCTTAAAGGTTTAAATTGCATCCTCAACTGTCAGCAGCTGTGGTGGAATGTAATGATGGGGAGGAACGAAGATCAGGGCCCTCTGTAGGAGGGGGGGTCCTTTGGAGCTAAAGATGAGCTCTGGGCCTGGGGTCTGATATGCTGAGTCCAGCTTAGGCTCTGCTAGATGACTAGGGTCAGATGGATGTTTCTGGCCCTGGGGTGTTTCTTCGAGTATTCTCCAAGCCTACTTCTCCTGATTTATGTGTAGTACTGGGCTTAAACCCAAGGGGACTGAGCTACATACCCAGACCCTTTTACTTTTTGTTTTTTTTGAGATAGCGTCTCATGAAGTTGCCCAGGCTCGTCTCAAACTTGCAATCAATCCTCTTGCTTCAGCCTCCTGAGTAGCTGAGATTACAGGTGTGCACCACTATATCCAGCTCTAAGCCTCTTAAATGTGTAAGTTTGGATTCCAAGCCAGCAGCTACCTGTGGCTCCAGGTGGGAGAAAGTATTTCCATAGCACACATTTTCCTTTTGTACTGCTTTGAAAAGTATAGAAATTCAAGTTTCGGGAAAATGACCAATTGTTGTAATAAACAAGGATCCTTACTTTCGAATCCAGTGGATACATGTTCACAAAAATCAATACTTTTCCATAAAACTGTGTTTGCAGGTGTTTTGGGCTGAGTTAAAAGAGTTGAAATCCATTGACTTCGATGCCTTAAATATTTACTGATTTACCTGCCCTCTCTAGGCTTGACCCTGCCTTATTACTTACAATACCCTGTGGAATGGGTGCTGTTATCCTTCTGGCAAATGAGGAACAGAGGCACTGAGAGGTTGGGTAATGGAAGCTGGTGTGCTTTACCACCATGCTGCTTTCTTTTCTCTTCTATTCCCAAGGTTTTGGTTATAGAAGATCCCTTTCTTTTCCTTTTTTCGGTACTGGGGATTGAACTCAGGTCCTTCCGCTTGCGAGGCAGGCAGTGGAACCACTGAGTTAAATCCCTGGTGCAGAAGATCCCTTCCTTGATCTAAGAATATGCTGATAAGAAAATGCATTGGAGAACACAATTCCCAGAAGATTCCATGTTGTGACAAATCCCAGTCCCTCTATTCAGAAAAACTAATGTACCACGCCGTTCTGATAGTTGCACTACCGTCATAGCTTCCTGCTGGGTTGGGAGTCTTGGGAGGGCGATGTGGGTAAAGGCCAGTGGGACCTTTGCTTTCAGGGCCTTTTAGTAATATTAGCACAATGGTGTCAGCTTCCAGGGATGGGTGGTGAGATTTTATTCCTTCAATGATGACCCTTTTACATGTTTATTAATAAATTATTAAGCAAGATGCTAAAAGACATTTTCCTGTTAAAGACTAATCCTCAAGTGTATGAAAAAGAATCTGTCCCCCTCCTAACTGCCTTTCAAAACCTTCCTCCCCACCAACTGAGAGGCAGGGTTTTGTGGTTAGAGGCTGACTGAGGTGTTTGACTTAAGTTCTTTTTGTTTTTCCCTTCACACAAGTTAGTTTTCCCAGGGTCATGCAGCGACAGTTCACTATGGACACAGCATTTTCCTGCAAGATATTTTCTGAAACCAACAGCCTCTTGGTTTTCAGGAGCCTTATTTAAAGAAATTTGCATTATTAGCTTTTGGGGCCCCTTCATTTACATACATGTTTGAAAGGGCAGGAGCTTGGGGAATGCATTAAAAAAGGCCCATGAATGTCAGGCACTGCATACCCTGCAGAGATGTCCATGACTATTAAAAAGTAGAAATTTAACTTCTGTCACTTCAGTGTGTTTATGTACAGTTATGGAATCTTGGAAGAGAATAGATGCTGTGATTTTTTTCCCCTTACCTTTGCAGCTATAACAAAGGACATTGTTACTGGTTTTTGGTTTTCCAGAAGAGAATAATCTTTGTGTATGTGTGTGTTGTTTTTTCTGGATGTGGGGGAAATTTTGGCTATTAATTAACACACACTTAAGAAATGAAGTGAGATGATTCTAAGGAGCAAAAAATGTTCTGCGGCTAGCGCTGGATCTGATTTGGAATAGAGCATCCTATAGGCAAGATCTCTTGAGTTTATGATTCTGAAAAGATGGGACTCTGGGTCCAAATTCAATTTGTTTTATACCAGTGATGTTTTATATTATTTAGAAAGCACACTGGATCTATGACATTTATAAGTCATGTTGAGGCATGAATATGAGTGTGCTTTGTGTTTACTTTAGTGGATCCTGGGGTAATTAATGAACAAATGTCACTTCAAGTTTTTAAATGAAAAACAAACAAACAAACAAGAAATCATTTGGCCATTTTAAAGGAATATGAGAAATAAGATGGGAATGTAAATTTGAGTATCTTGAAAGATTTTTTAGACTTTCTTTTTGAGACAGGGTCTTGCTGAGTTGTCCAGGCTGCCTTGAACTTGCAATTCGCCTGCCTCAACCTCCCGAGTGCTGGGACTACAGGTGTGTACCACACCTGACCAAGACTTGTTGTGCCTGATTTAAACTGAAGTCTATGTACCCAACCCTTCACCCTTAGGGGTGCATGTTTAGAGTTCAGAGGGTGCATGAACTTGGGTAAGAAAAACAAATCACATCTCTAATTGGAAGTTGGCATGTCTTCTATTTTTGAAGGTAGATGACATAGGGAAAGAAACAGTGGCTTTCCTCCATCCATCTAGATTCTTTGGCTGGGTTATGTATTAAATTGACAGGACTGATTAATAGGAGAAAAATAATTTTAACTATATGCATCCTGTGGGGGTGAAGGGAAATTTTCTCTCTTCCCTCTGAAGTTTCATTGACAAAGATTAAATAGAGAAGGCATACATATTTATTAAGATGGAAAAAGGGAGAATGACAGGAAAGAGTGGTGGTGGGAAATCACCTACTAAACATTATTTAGAAACTTATTCCTCTTTATTTTAGGGTTAGAGATCCATAGTGTTGCACATGCCAGGTAGGTGTTCTTCCACTGAGCTATACCCGCACAACCTATACCCATTTATTTGGTAGGAGAGAGGGAAAATGAGGAATGAATGGTCTAGGAGACAGATTAGCTTGTAAAAAGATTTTCTTTGGCGTCTGAATAATCCCAAGGGACAAATGTTATCTTGAAAGGAAAGTCCATCCTTGCCCAGTTTAGTCTCTAGTCTTCTTCTCTGAGCTAGATAATGAAGTATCAGGGTGGGGATAGAAGGTGATTGTGTTTCTAGCCTGGTCTTACTGCAGATAAGGGGAATTACTGAAAGCCTTTTCTCTGCACCTGGGGGAAAAGAGGATCAACAAAGACTAGATGATCTTTGATTCAGAGGCTACTTTTAAGAACTTTTAATTTTCTTTAGATCCAAATTGCCATATTTTGGTGGGTAGTGTTCTTTGAGCCTCCAAAATATGCGCAGAGGTCTCACCAAATACAAGACTCAAAGAGAAATCTTATCATTAAAGCTACAGAAACAAATAGGGGTTTGTGGCTTCTACAGGGAATGGGTGTGTGAGGGGAGGCATTGTATGGTGAATAAAGTTTGTCATGTTTTACACATAAAGTCCCTCAGGTAATAAAAGTTGCTTTGGATCAGTCTTCTTTCTGATATAGACACTTTTACTAATGTGTTTCCTTTATAGATGTAAATTTATTTTACAAAAGAAAAATAGCTTTGTAGCCTATTCCTTTTGTCTGTGCTTTTTCAGAATAATCAGTTCAAAATATGACAAAGCATATGTTTTGAGGAGGTATATTCTGGTCTTTCAGGTCATGCTTTGGGAGTATTGTGTTGTGAGCGTGAACAGTGACAGACTGCAACAGCATTAGCAGACCTATAACTCTGTCACCAATAGAAACCACAGGTATTTTCATAGCACATTGAACTTGCTACAGAATCTCAGAATCTTATTTACCTTAGCACTTCAAAGTTATGGCAATTACTAGGCCAGCTCCTACATTTTGTTAGAGTATCTGAATATATAATAATATCTGTCATGGCTATAAGTCACTGTATCGAAATTAGTTTTTTGATATATTTCAATGTGACTGGTTTCCTCTGTAACCCTGGGTAATTTGCTTCAAGTGTTGGGGGCTCAGGCAGTGACACCTTAAAGTATGCCACTTTGGATTTAAACCAAGAGCACCTGGGAGTGCCAACACAGCGGCAGCTTTCTATGTTCCCTTTCTGACCAACAGGGAAGATTAACACAGGAAAGAGAGTTGATGCTGCACTCAGATCCTCGATGAATTTTGTCTCAGGCCACTGTTCTTTAAGCCAATTCATCTTCCCCCAAAATAATTTACTCCATTCCTCCCTCAGAAGTCCCAAGTGTCTACTTCTTTGTGTAACTTAAAATGCTATTTGAGCTTCACCATCTGGCCCTTCTTTGAGTCTCTTGTTTTGTGTGGCTGTCCTGCCCCAGGCATGTATAGTAGATACATCTGTATGCCTTGTTACCTGCTATTCTGATCATGTCAGTTTATTTCAGCAGACTCAAAGATCGAACCTTCAGAGGACAGAAGGGAAGTTCCCTGGCCTCTACAGAAACACTGAAAGACACTATTTTGAGAGGAATTCAGAGATCCCAGACTAAGCAAGATTATAAAAAAAGTCAAAGTTGCTACAGTTTAATTCCATCTGTATAGTTGGTAGCATAGGTGGGACACTTGTGGAGAGGGCATCAGAGAGGGGAGGGGCAGGTGGGACACAGGGTGGGAGACACACTCTCTGAGGTCGTGTGCTGCTTTCTAAACTGGTCGCAATGATAACCTTAACCTCATTGTTTCTGGGAGACTTGACTACATCCTACCCATGTAGATGACTGAAAATGTCTTCAAACTTCCCTTTTGGGCTAAGTAAAAGGCTACAGCGAATTTACAGCCACTCTCAAACATATTTCAATCTGATTAAAAAATAAAGTTACTTTAAGGAGTCTGTCTTTCTTTCCTTTCAGTACGTGGAATTGAACCCAGGAGCTGAGTTTCCTTTCAGTACTTGGAATGAACCCTTGCACTCACTCGCTATACTGTGCCACACTCTGAGCTCTTGACGTCTGAACATTACTAAGGCATGAACTAAAAGGTATGTATTAAATGTATGTTTAGAAGGAACAAAACCTCTCTTTCTTTGCTCTATATTTGAACTCCATCCACTAGCTCATCTATTGAGATCATCCTCTGTGTGGGCCACTTGGGCCATCCAGGTCAGTGGTTTTTGATGTGTGGACAGGAACACAGGCATCACCTGGTAGCTGGTTACAAATGCGAGTTCTCCTGCTCCACCCCTTGCCTACTGTGAATCTGAAACATTGAGGATGGGCCAGAGGTCTGTGTTTACCAAGACCCACGGGTGATGTCAGTGCTCCTTAAAGTGTAGAGCCTGAGTTTAAATCACACCTATTCTCACTGCTTACTATGGGATTCAAAATTGTACATTGGAGGTAACTGGTCTCCCTAACAAAGTGACTCCTTGTTAGATATCTACTTGTTCTTCATTGAGCTTGGTGATAATAGTTTTGACCCCTTTTGGCCTTGGCTTGGTGTTTAGACCACCCCTAAAGATTCTCCAGGAGAATGGGATCTGGGGTGGAGGTGGAGGTTTGGATAAGGTGCTTAGTGAGCAGCTCCTTCCCAGTTCCTCCCACTTTCCTTTTGCTCTGGCGTTCATCACCTCTGTTCTGCCCGAGCCCATTTGACCAGGATAGGAGTAGCATGAAATTGGGCCACAGTGGAAATATTTGCACCATGAATATACAAAATCTACAAATATATTTTTGTTTCTCTTGTCATTTATTTTATTTTATTTTTTGGTCTTGGGGATCAAGCTCAGGACCTTGCACTTGCCAGGAAGGTACAGCACCACTGAGCTGCACCCCTGGCCCTTCTCTCTTTTAGGAAGTCAGTTTATGAGTACACCTCTGAATGGATATATTTAAATCAACATTGGCACTTACTTTCTTGTATAACTTTGGGAATGTTCTTTGGCTATCATCAGGCAAAATTCAGAAAATATAAAAGATGATCATGAGAAAAGTTGATTAAATATTTGAAAATCAGATATCTTCAACCATTATAATAGTTATTATAAGCAGTTTTTGGTGTCACTTAAATTATTTGACAATATTTTTAACAAATATATAATCGTCCATCCATGGGAATAAACACTTTATTTGATCCATATTATAATAATGTTGCAAAATGATGTCTATTTTTCTTTTTATATTTCAATTGTCTTCTTAGATTCTATTCCCAGAGTGGATTTTCTGGGACAATTTTTGAGGCATAAGTACATGTTTCCACATTATTTTCCAAAGATTTGGTAGTAATTTATATTCCCTCATTAGAAATGAAGAACCCCTTTTGAGTCACTGTACTGGCCAAATTAAGAGCTCTGTTTTAATTTAGAAGTATGACGCGTTCACTTGGATGTCTATTTGTTGCTGATAACTTTAGATGGAGGTGACCAAATTTGGAGTGTAACTAAGAAAATGTGATATCAAGCCAACTCCTGAAGCTCTTCTGGTGGAGGTTGGCCAATTGAAACAAAAATAATTTTCATGCTGTCTTAATGTGCCACTCTATTGTAATTTAAATGCATTGCAGTCAAATTTGAAATTTGGATATATGATCCTGTGAATGAAAGTGACACATGTTTTCCCACAGCAGTGGTGCCTGGAGTAATTAATTAATATTCCTTATTTACTTATTATTTTTTTTCCACACTCCTTGAATGGGATTGAACCCAGGTCCTTATATGTGCTAGGCACTTACTCTACCCCTGAGCTATGCCCACTCAGTTATTTTTTACAGGAGACACATAGTGCTTCTCTCCCATCCTGGGCAATAATAGGGTTGAGAGTGAGAAGCAGGAATGAGTGAGTGGATGAGTCTGTTTGCACCCTTCACTGATTAAAATTTTAAAATAACAACAGTGCATTTTGTTCTATCCTTGTTATAGAAGAATATATATGTCTAGTGTAATTTTAAAATAGTCAATGTAAAATAAACATTACTTGTTAGCTATATTTTTCGAGTCTCTTTTTCCTATGCACTTGTATATAGTTTCTATTTGGGGCATATGTAATTTTAAATCAAAAAGGCATGTTGTACATTTTGTTGTGTGCTTTCCCTTTTTTTTCTTCTCTCCTTCCACTCCCCTTAAACCTAATAGAGTGTAAACACCTTTCCATGTTATTTAATAGCCTTTTAAACATCCTTTTTCAGATCTGCCCAGAATCCTATATATGGATGTGCTATTTTTATTGAAGTCAACCCTTACTGTGGAACAGCTTCGCATCATGTGTTTTCTATTATTGTCAGTAACACTTTTTATTCACTCAACTCCTGGGTTTTAGAAGTAGCAGCTTGAGCAGTTCAGAGAGAAGCTGAATCAGTCTTAGAAAGTCTCAGCTGGCTGACTTCAAGATGGATCGTTGTGCTTGCACGCTCCGGCTTTTTCCCACTGATTGTTCCCTCTTCTTTTCATAGGTCTGCAGCACAGGGAAATACAGCACTCTCCATCTTCCTCTGGCTCACTCTGTCTTGCTCTTCATTTCAGGAGCCCACAGAGCAAAGGCTCAGATTGTCTAAAGCAGTGATGGTGAACCTTCTAGAGATCAAGTGCCAAATTGCAACTCAAAGCCTATTTCTTTATCACAAAGTGCTAACAGTGCAATCAAGCCTGAATACTGAGGTTTTAATTTAGAAAAATCAACTCTACATTAACATCTTTTGTTTTAAAATAAAGACACAATACCACCTGGCCATAGGTTTGCTACCACTGTCTGTACCACTGTGCCTTCTCTCCTTGTGTGTTCAGAGTAATTAGGGCAGCACTGAACAGTAAGATAGTACTAGGTAGATTAGAATAAGAAATGACAATTGCCTGCCTTACCCCTACCTCCCAGTTATCTGTCCCGAGAATAACCATTTACATCCATTTTTTACTTGTTTTTGTTTTTTTTTTTGGTACGAGGGATCGAACTCTGGTCCTTGTCCTTGCGAGGCAAGTGGCAGCACCACTGAGCTAAATCTCCAGCCCTTTCCTTTTTTTTTTTTTTTAGCTATCTCCTGTAATATGCTTATGTTACAAAGTTTTCTGTATTGTATTTTAATCTATTGTTTTCCTACTATAGATTTTGAGTATTTTACTACTAACATCTCCCAACTCCTCCTATAGGGATTTAGCTTGACCTGACAGCAGCCATCTTGAATTGCTACTGTCATGACTGCCCCTGAATAACCGTGGTGGGTTTTCCCTACAGTTTTCCAGCATACTAAATATAGGCAAAACCATGAGAGTGGTATGTGAAGCTTTATGGGTGGGCCCTGGTACTGTCAGTGCCAGGAATGTGTCTGACATCATTAATATTAGCTTGAGATAAACCAAGTACACTCTAGCTTGGACGAAATCACTCTTGTCCTGACTCGTTCATAAGCTGCCTTACTCTGACCCAAAGTGCCAAGATGCACTGGTCTTGCTGCCACTTAGCATTATGCTTTTGCCAGTAAGTCCCCAATAAACTTGTACATTTTGTGCAATCCTGGGTCTGTTCGCCTCTTTCCACTTCACAGCACCTTGGGGCCAGTTTGTTTTTTAAAATTAATGTTATTGGTACATTTTAGATATACATAATAATTTTTATCATAGGAAATTTATACCTATACACGATATACCTTAATTCTTTTTTCCCATTCCCCTCCCCTCCCTTTAACCCATCTTCCCCTTCTTATTTACAAAAGACTTGTTTTTATTTTTCCTTTTTAGTTTTTTCTTTCTTTTCTCTCTCTTTCTTTCTTTCTTTCTTTCTTTCTTTCTTTCTTTCTTTCTTTCTTTCTTTCTTTCTTTCTTTCTTTCTTTCTTTCTTTCTTTCTTCTTTTCTTTCTTGTGCTTGTGAGGCAGGTGGCAGCACCATTGAGCTAAACCCCTGGTCCTCCATTTTTCCTTTTTATTCTCTTTTTTCCTCCTTTCTTTCTTTCCCTCTCCTCTGTCCCTAGTTCCCCTTCCCATTTGAATATGTTCTCCCTATTTCACAATATTTATTATGCATTTTGGTCTTTATTTACCATTTCAGTTTCTCACATCAGAGAAACAATGCAATATTTAAACATGTGTGTCTGATTTATTTCATTTAAGAATATGGGCTCAAGGTGCATCCACTTACCTAGAAATGTCTCAAGTGTATCCATCTGTATGACAGAGTAGTACTCCACTGTGTGCAAAAAAACACATCTTCTTTATCAATTCATCAATTCATGGGCATTTGGCTTGTTCCAAGATTTGGCTATTATAAACTGTGCTGCTATGAACATGGATATGCATATATTGCTGTGGTATGATGCTTTTAATTCTTTCAGGAAGATACCAAGAAGGGATATAGGTCAATGCATCAAGTAGAACCCCTAGTTTTAGTTTTTTGAGAACTCTCCACATTGTAAAAATGGTTGCACCAATCTATACTCCCACCAAAGGTGGAGAAGGGTTCCTTTTTCCCACAGTCCCACCAGGATAGCCATTTTTTTGGAGTGAATGGAATCTCAGTGTTGTTTTAATTTGCATCTCTTAAGTAACCAGTGATGCTGAACATTTTTTTGTGTATTTATTTGATGTTTGTACTTCTTCATTTGAGAAGTATCTATTCATTTCAGATGCCTACTTTTGGATTGGGTCTTTAAATTTGAGGGGCCTCATATTTTTGAGCTCTTTATATATTCTAGATATTAGTCCTTTGAGGAACAGCTGGAAAAACTTTTTTTTCACTGTGGGTTTTTTTCTGCGAAAAGCCTTTTTCATAAGGTGAGATCTCAGTTGTCAATTCTTTGTGATATTTCTTGTGTTATCAGGGTTTTGTTCATAAAGTCTTTGCCTACATGCATGTCTTCAGCCTTCTTCCTATTCTATCTTCCAGAAGATTTAGTAATTCTGTTTTAGTATTTAGATCTTTGATTCATTTTGGTTTTGGTTTAGTGCATGATGAAAGATATGTCTAGTTTTAATCTTCATCATTTATTAAAGAGGCTGTATTTCTTCCAGTGAAGGTGTTTGACCCCCTTGTCAAAGATGAGGTGGCTGAGTGTGTTTGG